CTTATATATTATATATTAATAAGTAAAATGTTATGATTTTTTGTAAATTATACTACTAAACATACATTTATACAGCAGTTTTATGATTTTCCATCAAACAAAATCTAAATAGTTAGGTACACTTAATATATTCGTATATTTATAAATATATTATTTAGTGACCCATAAGAATATAAGATACCTATAACTGGCTATAAGATATTATACTATATTAATATTAATTATAATATACAGAGTATTGATATTTGTCGTTTTATATTGGTTATTTTCTGTCTTCTTTTGGGTCTTTTATATCGTCTACCAATAGGCGTTTACCATACTGTGGGTTTATTATTTCCGGTAAAATGCAATTCATGTAAAAACTGAAAAAAAATTAACATTTTTTTTAAGTTGTGATGGAGGTAGGTAGATTACTAATTTATGTTGGTATTCAATATTCATTAAACATAAAACTAGATAGGTATATAAGATATTTTCATAAGTCATTTTGTATGCACTAACTTTTCTAACTTAGTCTCCATTTGTTTCTGCCAAAATTCTTCATCGTAGGTTATGCACTCAATATTTATTCATTTCTTGGTGTAAGTAACAAAATAGCATTTTTTTTTTTGGCATACATGCATTTGTCCTTGCACTTGGTAGTAATAATTACTACTCGTTTTTAAACGCAATTCGTCATGAACTAATGTACAATTGGGTAGCTAAAATTATAAAGTAGTAAGTTATTAAACATACATTTTTAAATAAATATAATTAAAATTATTAATACGAATTTATTTTGTGTTATACCTTTTTTTCATTGATAGCTTCTACATAGTTGTCACAATCTTTTGCTAAAAATGGACATTTTATTTCAATTAAACTATCTGCACCTATTGTGCCATCTATCAAAAAAAAAAAACCCTTTACTTTAAAATTCAATGTTTTACCACAATTATCAAATTAGGTATTTGTATTTTTTCTAATTTAATTTGTATATTGATATTAGAATATTATATGCATAAAAATGTATTAATTAATTAATTTATAGTCTATAATTTAATGAATTTAAAAATATGTATTACCAGGAGAAGCAGCCAAAAATGGTTTGTTTACATCAGTGGCGTAGAAAGACTCGTTAGCGCCCCTGGCAAACCTATTAAAATGCGCCTTTTTAGCGATTAAAAAATTGAAGAAAGTACGGAATAATATTTTTAACATTTATTTTTTATATACATAATTAGGTAATACTACATTATTTAATTATCAGTTATTATGACAATGTAAATTTCGAACTTTAAAAATTGTCTTTTCTTGCTTTAAGGCTAGAGAATTCATCGATGATTTCTTCATATGAAATTTGCTTAGCAAATTCATGTTCTTTGGATAAAATTGCCATGCTTGTTAGTCTCTCTTGTTCAATAGTTGATCTTAAGTAATTTTTTATTAGTTTAAGTTTACTAAAACTTCTTTCACAACTAGCAGTTGTTACTGGAATAGTGAGAAATATTCTTAACGCTATTTCTATGTTAGGATAAATCTGTGGCATTAGGGTAAATGTACATAAGTTATAAATAGCAAATTTTCAGGAAGACAAATAATACATTCAAATTATTCGTGTAAATACAATTATTTAGTTAGACATCTTCTTATAGCATTTTTAAATAGTTTAAACAACTCACCTTAAACTGCATTAATTAAAATTCTTGTGAAAAATAAATTTACCCAAAAATATTAAACTTAAATTTTTTTTTACACAAACAATGAGTAAAAGTGCATAAGTCTAGCGAGCATCTTATAGTTTATAACTTATAAATTTAATGAAAAGCTAAACAGTTTGATAAAAATAGTATAAGTACAATATTATAGCAATCAAATACCTAGAACAAATTTAAAAAAAAAAAATAAAAATAAAACTTCAGTCTCAATTTAAAATATGTGACTATAAACAACAAATTAGTACAATAGAAATAGACTAAAACAAATTAATAATAATTCAGAAAATAAAACAATAACACTTTTCAGTTATAATTATCACAACTGCTTAACAAAAAAATTAATAATTAATTTTACAACATAACATTAAATAGTAAAATAAAAACAATAGAAACAAAGAAATCTCAATGTTTAACTTAAGTTTCAAATTAAAATAATAAATTGAGTCTAGTGAGTATCTGCATTGTGTATAACTTATACATTTAATGAAAAGCTAAACAGTTTGATAAAAATAGTATAAGTAAAAAAAACTAAATACATTTTACAACATAACATTAAATAGTAAAATAAATACAAATTAATATTATCAGTCAGTTTCAAAATTAAATTCTTCCAGATCTGGATCAATATCACATTGTTTTTGAGCTGTGAATAAATTTTCATAAAATGCATGATAAATAGGGTCTATCAAAGGAAGTAGAGATAGCAGATCTTTTTTTTTTCATTGCTTATAGGTAGAGGACCAGTATAACATTTTTGTAACTGTAATTGTTTTGATGTCTTTCCTCTTCTGGCAAAATTTATGGTATTGAAAGGTTCATTACCATTTAAGGTATTCTTGTATAAAACTAAACCAAAATTTTTACTATATTGTAGCCACTGAATTTCTTGCCAAACAACTTGGTCACCTTTTGTATTTTTTTTTTTAATTTGTAAGTTTGTTTTTAAAAGGGAAGCAAAATCAATAAAATTATCCTGAGACATAACTATAACTTCAATTTTTTTTTTTTTGCCAGTGGTTCTTACTAGTTGATACCAATCATTTGGAATTGATATCACCATACCACCCTTCTTCTTCCTTTTTTCTATAGCTGCATGGTCAATGTCACACTCCATGTGTGTATGGCCTGGTGTGAGAAATTTATGGTTTATTGTTTTTAGTGTAGGGTGGTTTAAAAGAACAACTTGGAACATACAGGCAACATGGTTATTTTTATTTTGGCCCCCACAAGTATCACTGTAAAATGTAATCTCTTCAATATTATCAGGAATTTTTTCATTTAAAAAATGATATAAGCAAGATGCTATTTGATTAGCACCCCTACCTGCAACCGCTTCATGCCACATATAGCAGTAAGGTTGTCCAGTTATACAATCATGTATAGTGAGGTTGAAAGTCCATAGTTGCCTTTTATAAAAAGCAACAGAAGTATTTAAGTACGGAGTAGGCAAACATTGTTGGAGATCAAATGTATATATTTGTTTAGTGTCATCATTTTTGGCTATATCTTTATCTACTGATTTGCTAGTATAACCTCTATCAGCATCTTCATTGTGCTGCTTCAATTCGAATAATATCTTATTTCTTTCAATGTCACATTTTTCTACTTGTGCTTTCATTTTGAGGACATCACATTTGTGGCATGTATCAAGCTTGGGTTTCTTGAATTTTAAATCTAATTTTTTAAATTCTTTTGAATAAATTGAAAAGCTTACTGGATTTTCTACTTGATTTTTATACAACTCAAACATCAAAGTTAATGTTAAGGTAGATGAAAGATATTTTTTGCTTGTGTGCCTTCTGGAATAATGTGACTTATAAGCTGGGAAGGACTGAATATGATTAATTACATTTGTGATTTGTTCAATGGAAGTTTTATTAGGAGGTTCTTTTTTACCTCTCATATCGTTTTCTGTAATACCAGCTACTGACTTTAATTTTTTTTGTACGGTTATTCTTATAAAACCTTCAGTTTCTCCAAAAATAGTTAAAAAACAATTTTTGCATACTTCTTTTTTATTTTTGTTTACAATCAAATTATATCTGTAAGAATTTTGTCTGTTTTTTTGTTTTGAAGGGCTGCATGTTTTAGTTTTGGTTAATTTTTTTGGCACTACTGTTATTAAACTAGCAATATATGATACCCTACGATCATATGATTTCATACCCCAGTACTCATTAAACAAATGTGAACGATTTGAGTCACTTATGGCATCTTTACATTTCATACGACATTGTTTCAAGTCTTTCATCACTCTTGGTTGAACAGTCTTACCATTAGCAGTCATATATTCTTTTCCGCTATTTCTACAATCCTTCCTTTTTTTCCTCAGATTTCTACTTTGTGCTTTTGATGATTTAACTACCAACGCAGTTTCAGCTACAATATTATTGGGTAATGTAATATGCGAATTAAATACACATGAACTAGCTGTAGAACAAGCTGGAGATTCTTTATTTTGATTGCTAAATGGGGGACTGTATTCAATATTTCTTAAATCAGGAGGCGTACCTGGAATCCAGTCAGGATCTAAATCACTATCATCAAAAACATCATATTCATTCGGTTCAGCTGCGTCATTTCCATTAACTTCGTCAAAATATATAGGTGAAGGGGTATTTTCTACATGGTAATTTTGTTGTGGTGGAGGCAATAATGAAGGATTGTTTTCGACTAAACATAATTTAATAGTTAATAAAAACATAACTAGTTCCGTTTGATTTTAGTGTAATTAAAACGCACTCACCTTCTGTAGTATTAACTGTATCAGTAACTAAACTTAATAAACGTCTAGCTCTTGAAGAAGTCATTTTTTTTAAGTTAAATAAATCAAAAAATTCAAATGTTTAATACCCATAATGAACGTAAAAATTACTGTAAGTTACTGATTACTGTTAACAACCATGACAATCAAAATTATATTATAATAATCATATTGTGCCCATATCATTACCATAGACTTATAATATATTATAAGTCTATGATCATTACTACTGATATGATACATAAGTGTTGCCAACATATATAAAAGCAAAGGTAAAACTACATAACTTAACTTATGTATATATTCTCATCACAGTTTAAAACTGTTCGAATTTGTATAAGTATATTTATTAAGTTAACATAATAATATTTACCCAAATTAACAATGATGAATTCTAAGACTTATGTACTTTTAACACAGCAATATAAGTGAATATAATAGTCTCACGACTTATGTTCTTATACCAAAATGTAAAGGGAAAAAAACTATATACGATAACACGATAAAGTCATTATAAGCATATGTCGACTTATGTACATTTACCCTAATGCCACAGAAATATCTTGTAAGTTTTGTTTATGAATAAATTTTAATAAATCAATCGGTGCAGCCATTTTGAAATCGGTCATCAATGCAGAAGCCTGGTGTTTAAAACATTCCATTTCAGAGCAAAACTCGAATCCGTTGAGGTCCTTGTCGTATTTGATTGCTAAATCGTTAGTCCATTTTTTAATTTCATCAAAATCCATTGACGATAGCTTACTTCCACATAAAAATTCAAAGTCATTGGATAAAATAGTCATTCTTTTAAATCGCCATTTTAAACTCGATAAGATTGAGTCAACTGCCATGTAAAAATCATTTTTGATTTTGGCGTGGATGGATGTTGCACCATCATCTATTGCTTCTTCTCCATCCATACGTTTTATTTTATGCCTTCGTTTTTCTAGAAATTCGGGTGACAGTTCCATTTCGATAGCAGTATTCTTTGCATTTTTTAATAAATCCTCAAAATTGTTATCACGAATTTCTTGAATAGAATTATACAAACCGTTTAACATTTTACTTGCCATATCAATTGTAATATCTTTAGTTTGCAAAGACTTATTGGTTTTATCGATATGCGTAAGTATTTTATTCCATATATTTAGTAAGCACAGAAATTTTAGATCTATTAGGCGTAAAATTTGATTGCAACCATCAATAGTGTCATAGTTCATATTAGTAATGTCCCGCATTTGTTTCAATATCATAGCAATACTGATGATATTAGTATGTAAAGCTGAAATGGCTTGTTTCTTTGATGACCAACGAGTATCACTATGTTTCTTTAAAGTAACATTTATGACATTTTTTAACATATTCCATCTTGAAGTAGAACTAGAAAAGAATACAAATATTTTCTGAACACTTCCAAAAAAAGTTATCATAGCAGGTGAAGTTTCGGCAGCATGAACGCCAACGAGGTTTAAACTATGCGCTGTACAAGGTACAAAAACTGCTAATTCATTTAGTTTAGTAATGTTTGCCTGAACTCCTTTAATTTTCCCGGCCATATTTGCCCCATTATCAAAACTCTGTCCTCGGCAGTTATTGATATTTAAGCCATCAACTTGTAATTTATCAACAATATCGGAAGCCAGACCAGTTCCAGTCTTTTCTTTTGTTTCTATAAAATCGATAAATCTTTCTTCAACCGTTACTTCATTATTTGAAATTTTTACGTATCTTATAATTTGTGATAACTGTTCTTTGTGTGAAAAATCAGGAGTGCTATCAAATAATATTGCATAATATTTACTTTTTTTAATAATTTCAAGAATTTTAGTTTTAACAGTTTTTCCCATCAACTCAATAAATTCATTTTGTATGGTTGGTGAGAAATAACTGATTTTATATTTTCCCTCATTAAGCGCTATTAGATGTTCTTTTAAAATCGGGTTATAATGACTAATAAGTTCAATAAGATCAAGAAATATTCCTTTTTTCGAGTCTAAAATCTTTTCTGAATGACCTCTAAGAGCAAGATTATTTCTACTGCAAAACATAATAATATCTACGATTATTTTTAAAATGTTGCGCCATTTTTCTTTTTCATTTTTGAACATTTTTTGTACTTCACAGTCAATAGTTTTATCATCAAGTAATTTTTTTTCTAGTTCTTTCCATTTGATACAGTTTTGTTTATGCAGTAAATTAATTTCATGATCAGGCAAACGAGGGTTCAAATGTTGCCAATCGTCAAAACCAGAAACAAAAGCACAATTTGTGGTACAAAATAAAATGCACGGAAAACAAAAAAGTTTATTTTTTGAAACACTATACATTAACCATTGCCTTCGAACCTGTTCACCATTAGTAAGTTTTCTGAAGAACCATTTATTACTAAAATGACGATTATTTTCGTCATGTGGATAGTAGTTTTGAATTGAAGAGATTGGAGGACCACGTTCAATTAAAATAGCTTTTAACCTAGGTGTTATTTTGGGCCATTTCGCAGGATCATTAAAGTCAACATTTTTAGTATTATCCTGTTTTTCTATTTTTATCTCATTGTTAGTATCAGACTCAATGGTTGTAGCATTTTCTGTTATTTTTATTCCATCGTTAGTATCCGTTTCTAAAGGAACTACTAGATTTTCTTTTGGACTAGATTTCTGAAGCCATTTGCCTAACGATGCGGATAAACTTTTATTACTAGATTCTTTCAGTTTTCTTTGCTTTTCAAACCAGGCACCAGAAGGTTTTTTTGAAGTCATTATTTTATTAGTAAATTATTAACGACTAACGAGTAAATTATAAAATGTTTATATAGTTTTATTAACTTACGTGTGTGCGTACAGCTTGCGACGTGTCAATAGCATAGACGGCTAAGAAATGGCAATACGATTACCCGCATCGTACTATCATGCATTGTAATACGCATTATCGTCACTTTTAAAAATAAGATTATTGATATATAGACGACAAAGAATATCATAATATATTTTATAGACGGGCCACGGGCGATCCGATAACGATAAGCTCGATGTTCACACACACACACAAACACACACGCACCGTTCCTTGTACTGAAACACGAATTTAACGATAAACAAGATAAACAAAATCATACACATTTCAAAATGTATAGTCATATAGGTAATATAGAAATGTCGTTTTGAAGTTAGAATAAAAATAAGTACCAATTTTAAAGCACAAATTGGCGCCCCTTCATAATTTGCGCCCCTGGCGTAGGCACAGTTCGCCATACCCTTGCTACGCCACTGGTTTACATCACGGTTATCTACTCAGGTTGGAGCACGCCGCTATGATGCTAATACAGACTGATGGTCTATGCGGCGACCGTGGTGAACTATTAGCGCTAGTAGTCAGTGGGCCTACGTTCACATTTGTATGTACTGGGAAATCGAAGATTTTTTATTCAAATCGTTAATATCGTCCAAACGACTAAAAATACGAATTAAAAACATTCCACAATTATTATAGACCGTGAAAAGGTGATAAGAACGCAACCGACACCTAACCTGGAGATAACATGATAACTGTACGAAAAAGACGAACAAAATAATTTTCTAATTTCGACAATATTGTTCTGTAATCTGTATGACTGTATGTGTTTTTGTCATTACTTAATTGGTAGTAGGTAGTTTTATTGCGATGGTGGCTAAGTGTTGTGTAGTTGGATGTACTTCAGGCTACAAAAGCAACACAGAAAAAGTGTCACAGTTTTCCGCACCAAAAGATACTGGTTTACGGCTAAGATGGCAAAAAGCTTTTTTCAGGCTACAAGAATCATTACTGGGATGAAAAAACAAAAATAAAATTATTATAAACTGTAAATTAGTTAGGTATAAAATTAGTTATTAAGTATTAACCAACTACTAAATAGGTTTTATTACATAAAGAATAAGTAATGAACAAAGTGATAATAACATATTATGTTTATTTGATATTTTATTTTACAGATATTTTATAAATAAAATAAATTATAACTGGGTAAGAAAGACTTGTAGTCATTAATTCTGACGTCAGTCATTTAGAGAGTTTTTCGAAGTATACTCGTAAGTCAAGTGTTGGGGGAATTATTTTTTTATGTAATTAAATTACATTGTACACTAATATTAAGTACTCAGCTTTCAAATAAAGTAATTAAAAAAATTATAATTTATAATCACGATTAGAATTTATTATTTCATTACGAGTGAACTCGTCCAGTCGGTAACCAGTTAGGCCTCATGACTACTAGCGCTTTAGTTCACTGCGTTCGCCGCATCGACCAGCGATAACACGCCGTGCGCCAACCTGTGTAGATAACCGTGGTTTACATCAATGAAAATACCACATGTATTTATTACTTGTCCAATTTTTTTTTCTGCTTCTTTAATGGCTACCGATTCCATTAATTTTCCATACTCCGTGGCTTTTGATGTAAAAGATCTATACAATAGATCATAAACAGTATTTTTACACGATGTTGATGTCCTCATTTTGCATATTCGTCCGAAGTTTGATGCTGTTAAGCGATTACGTCTTTCTTTATGCCACATTTGAGAATTTGATTGAACTCTCGTTTCAAATTCTAATGCCAATCTATTAGTCGGAGTTAGAGAAAGTGAATCTAAGAACGTTTTTTTTCTATTATTGATTTCCTCGGGTGTTATATCTTTAATTAAAGTTTCTACTAGTCCATAATATTGGTCTGGACCAGAACTTGCTACTTTTTTAGTTCTATGTTCTTGAAATAGTTTTCGTCTACGTGTATTTTTTATCTTGTTGGTTTTTGATTCTAAAAATTTTTTACCTATATTACCTAAAAGATGAAATTTGCAATTTTTATTATAATATTGTATACCATATTTTGCATTTCAAAATTTACCGGGACTGATATCATTTACAATACTCTTATGAATACTACGTATATATTTGCCTGCAGTATTATGTGACAATACCGCAGCTTCGCTATACGTAAACGGAACCCGTCAAATTAAAATTACAAACCAAATATTTTCTGAGCTTTTGTTTGATTTTCTAATTTATTGCGATACTCAATTGCTTTAGTAATAGAACATCTAAATCGTAACTGATTGCTCTTTATGTGATTTCTCAATGCTATAGGATAATTAGTATTTTTAATCATGGCAGCTAATTTAGTTCCGTAATTACGCAATAGATGATTGCGACATTCAATTTTTTCAACTAATAGATTAGGTCCATATGGCATTAATTCACGTAACCGTTTGGTGACACTAGAATCTCCATCACCTCCCAATCGGAAATTTATTACTTACGCCAACATTCACAACGGGCGCAATACTGCGCCTGCATAGGCTACCCGACAGTTGGCTGGCCCTTACGGGCATAGTACTGGCCATAACTTTTTGACAGTACTGAACCAGTACAGTATTTCAGTACTGGTAGCCAAGTGCTGATCTAGTACTGGCACAATACGGATCCCGATGGATATGTTAGCAAAGGCCAGCCAGTGTTTGTCGTATTTATGCCAACATTGGCGGAATACTGGCATAGTACGGGCCGATTCCTATATCCGTCATCCTATGTAAATAGCCAGGTAGGTATAATTTTACAGCTGTTTTTTATTTACTGTGTCATAGAGGGTTAAGCGTTTAAAAACTATGTAATCTGTCGTATCTAAAAAACATTTTCCGTTGGTACATTACGTATTACGATATACGATTGGTAGATAGGCAGATAGGCTTGTTCTAGTAGCTATTTTATAGTTTGATGTAGGTACCTACGACCTATACCTCAGATACTTTGTGATTTTATTTGATTGTTTTTAAAAGAGTACCTATTTTGCATTGCCTTCATGTCAATGTATCAAAGGTATTTGATTAATGATAATGATATATAGGTAATTAATTCGGTTAAAACTTAAGTGATTTGTACTACATTTGTTTTATTTAAATGTATCAAATAAAACTTATCAATATTTAATATATTATTATTTATCACGTATATTTTTGTATTATATAGCCGTGAAGTTGTACAAAATATAATATTAGTAGGTAAAGTATACTACAATACATTCAAAATTCAGTTTCTTTGAGATAACAGTTTAATATCCAGTATCCTATAATATATTACGTTGTTTAGTATAAAATTATGATTATGTTATAAATATAGAAATCTGTTGTTGTTTAACAGCAAATTTTCTGGGAAAACCCTATAACGACTCTATGTCCCCGCCGTACGTCGCACTACCCATGTATTATCGTTCGGTCACTGCACGGCGTTCGCCGGTCGGCGGTCACACACTCACACACTAACACAACATACACGAATACACGACAGTGCTACACACACATAGGCACAGACTACACTAGAACATTGTTTACTACTCGACTATTCTGCTTCTGCCGTCTATGTGTAATAGTGTAATATACTAATATTTGTTATTTATTAATGACTTGATGACGTCTTGATGTGTTATAACTTATAATATTTTATAATTGTAAACTGTTTTGTGTCGTCGGACGTCGGATTTGAAGTTCAAAGTTGTATAGATACATTTTCGGTAAGTACCTAACTACCTACTTTTTAAAACTATTATTGTTCAGGGGCGTCATTTGGGGTATTGCAGGGTATGCCTATGCATACCTAAAATTATCAAGATGCAATTTGGCCTGACAATAATTTTTCTGCGCCGGGCAAAAATTATCCTTTATTTTTTTATAATATATAATTGGTCTCAAGCATCGGCATCTATCATTTATCTTTTATCTATGATATGCCCTAGGTCATACGCTGTAGTAGATATTATGATTGATTAGGAATAATAGTGTTTATAATCATTAATCAATGTTATTATGGATATTATAATAGTCATAGACCTATGATAATAGTTATGTAACATTGGGATTTTGAAACACGGGCGGACTAATCTAACCTATATATAGCAACGCTTAACAAATAAGGGGACTGCGGCTAATCACTACGCCACAAGCGTATCAAAAGCGTTATCAAAAGATAACTTTAAAAATAGATTCAATATTGTTATATTATACAATATTTATAGAATAGAATTGTTATTTTATAGTTCCACGTAAAATGTGATCAACCATCACTCGTTAGTGATTGATAAAACTGTCCAGTGTCCGACTGTCGTGTTATACTGTTATTATTTAGCTTATTTTTATTACGTTGAGTGTTGTCGTTTTGACACGTTGTACGTGTCCGGTGTCCCTATCCAGATTTCAGTATACCAAAAACGCTAAAAATATAATGAATAAACGAAAAGGTGGCGCAGCTCGTCTTCGAGAGAAAAATAAAAAACAACTTCTATCATTGGCAAATTCTAATATGAAAGTAGATATGTTGTTTAAAATGCAGAGCAGTAAGGTAAGTTAGTCTATACTCAGTTTAGTACTACAATATTGGGTTGGTAATTTTAGTAATATGATTTAGTATTAGTACTTACCTACCTATTTTATTCAATTTAAGACTTGGATTTAGGTAAGTGTAAAATAAAAATATATACCTTTTTAAATAAACTTTGCTCAGGATATCCTGCATTTTTTAGCCTTGGTGATTAAGATATTACTTTCTTTTCGGTGTCTTACTTCATTCAGTATTAGCTATATGAGTTAAAATTCTTTAAGGTCGTAAATAGTAATAATAAAACTCCAATTTTTATTTTTTCATAAAAGTGAGTTGAATAGCCCCAGCCGCCTACCATTAAATAAATATAATGTGTAGGTTGTGAAAATCATAATTTTTTCAGCCTCAAATATCTAGTATTGGAATAGACAAGGAAAATGATTCTCATAGAAATGTGATAAATAATGATGATGTCGAAAAAACTATGACTACACAAAGCTCTACACTTTCAAATTCATTGATAAATACACCTGTAAGTAGATTTTTAAGTATAAAATCAATTGTATGTGTAGTAAATACAATCTTAATTTTTCAGTCTCAGATATCTAGTATTGGAATAGACAAGGAAAATGATTCTCATAGAAATGTGATAAATAATGATGATGTCGAAAAAACTATGACTACACAAAGCTCTACACTTTCAAATTCATTGATAAATACACCTGTAAGTAGATTTTTAAGTATAAAATCAATTTTATGCATCGTTAGTATAATATTAATATTTAGTTTTATAATTATTATTCTAATAAGTCTTGATAAATTATCGTCATATAAAAAAAATATTTTAATGAAGATGAAGCCAACTTGATAATTTGTAATATTTTTTAAGGAATTCAAAAAGGATATATCCATGAATAAGAATGAAAAACCCGTACAACCTATGCTTTTATTCTACCCTAAAACAAATAATAGGAACTTTCAAAGCAGTTATTTTAATAAATTTAATTGGCTGGAGTATTCAATATCTGATGATGCAGTATTTTGTTTTCCATGTCGACATTTTTCTTTAAGTGGTAATTTTCGGGGACAAACAATTGGCAATGCTGCCTATATCGATAGAGGAGTCAAGTGTTGGAGAAATCCATTACAGTCGTTGACTAAACATAGTCGAAGTGATAATCATTTGACATCAGTAGAAAGATGGAATCAATATTTAGCCATATAAGCCAAACAAAATTCGATTGCTAATATTTTAAAATCATCAAGAGCTCTTGAAATAGAAAATAACAGGAAACATATATACTTTTTATTAAAGACAACTTTATATTTGGCTAAACAAGGACTGGCATTTCGAGGAAACGATGAGTCTAGTTTGTCCAAAAATAAAGGTAATTTTATTGAGTTATTAGAAACATTTGCAGATGATTCTATGAAAATAAGGCTAAAATCAAGATATGGACATTATACCTCACCAGAATACCAAAATGATCTAATTCATATTCTTGGTTGCTGCACCAGAAAAAATATTCTGAACAAAATGTCTCCATTTAGTATATATTCAATTTTAGTTGACGAAACTAAAGATTCTTCTAAAAAAGAGCAGTTGAGTTTCCTTATACGATTTGTAGACATAAATTTCAATATATTTGAGAAAGCACTAGGTTGCAGTCACATGAAAAAATCGGATGCTACTTCTCTAGCTCAAGAAATAGTAAAACTTATTCAGGAGAATAATTTGGACATCAATAAATGCATTGCTCAATGCTATGATGGTGCTTCAGTGATGAGTGGTGTTTATTCGGGTGTGCAACAAAAAATCAGCGAAATTGTGCCTCATGCAGTGTACATTCATTGTTATGCCCACCGATTAAATCTTTGTTTGGTTGACTGTATATAAAATGTGCCCTTAATAGTTGATTTTTTTGATACTATTCAAAATCTCTATAAATACTTGATGAATAGTCAAACTCGTTATGAACTTTTCATAGAAGCTCAAAAAAATAAAAATGTTAAAGTAATTCATTTAGAAAGGCTTGTTGATACTCGTTGGTATTATTGGTATACTTCATTGCAAAAAGTAAGAAGCCGATATACTGTGATTATCGAAGTATTAACTTTTCTGACTGAACATGGTGATCAAACGGTTAGAGCAGTAGGACTACTTAAAAAATTATCTACTTTTAAATTTATTATGATTTTGGAGGTAATGGTTTGTGTTCTAGAATGTATACACTGTTTATCATGTGAACTTCAAAATTCAAATATTATTCTATCAAAGGCCATGTTATTAGTGAAATCTTCAAGGAATAATATCTTAAAATTACGCTGTGAAGAATCGTGGTTGAAATTTCATCAAAAAGCAACTGATATAGCAATTTGTAATGGAATAAAAACCCAAACTCACAGTAAACCTGAGAAAAGAAAACAGACTTTCAATAAACATTTGAATGATTATTTTGTACAAACAACTTT